CTAACAGCCATATTATAGTTGAGGGCGAACCAGAGTCAAGTATGATAATTTGCGAATGCTTGAAGGTGTAGCTTTCATATTACAACTTAAGAAACCAAGTGACCTGGAAGCGTTGGCAGAGATTGCTTTAATGTGGTTGAACCACGATAGAGTAGGTGTAAGTATAATGCCCAAGTACCAATATTGCATTGCAATCGAGATAATGAACTGGTTAATGCTATATGAAAATTCTGATCTGCTAGATTTACGTGTGAATGACATTACTTAGCATATTGAGACATTTAGAGTCACGAGCCATGTACTACACCGACCTATAAATACGTCGAGGTCATTTTGGAGCGATAGGTGTTTTTTAAAGTTCTTGATTGGATGGTAAATAATGCAATCGTCGGTGAATACCCTGATGCAAGAAGAGACATGTTGCGGATGATCATTTATGAATATGAGGAGAAGTAATGGTGCGAGTACGTTGCCTTGTGGTACACCTGAAGATACATCAGTTACAGATGAATAAAAATTGTTGACTGTTGTGTACCGCTGCCGATTAGGTAGAAAATTGCGAAGCCATGATAGTGTACGGGAGCCTAACTTCAAGGCGGACAGTTTCGATATGTGCAACCCGGTCAAAAGCCTTCGAATAGTCCAGGAACACGCAGTAAGTTTCATAATTATTGTCCAAATTTGCATGAAGATCTGTGGTTGTTTCAAACAGCTGAGTCTCACACAGAAAACCCTTTCTGAAACCGTGTTGGTGGGGGCATTAGATTTTGTTGATTAGACTGTGTTGATTTTTGAAAAGGAAATTATTGGATTCCAGATGTCTGTAAACATTCGAAGCGACGATGTGTTCTAGCATTTTGCAACAAATGCATGTAAGTGAAATAAGATGGTAATTTTCGCACGAGGTTTTATTTCCACTTTTAAATATTGGTATTACCTTTGCCAACTTCCAGTCAGACAATATTATCCAGAGACGGCCGATATATATAGCAGAATTTCGCTTGAGACCATTACTGTATTTTTAGCACCTTAGAAATGATTCCATTTACACCACATGGCGAAGACAACTTGAGATTCTTTATGGCTATATCTATGCCGTCCAGCTCAAGGTTATTGGTTCCATGAGTTGGTAGTCAAGCTCGGCTACGCAGGGTATGTTTGTACTGTTCTCTTTCGTGAAGACAGAAGTGAAAAAGGAATTAAGTGCTGTTGGGCATTAGCTAGCTGGAAGAAAGACGTTGTTACAATCTTGTAATGAGATGTCCTGGTTTTCACTGGTCGGATTGATGACTTTCCAAAATTTAGCTGGGTTGTTTTTCAGTAGTGTGGGTAAATCAATAGAATAATACTTCGCCTTAACCTATTTTAAAGCAGCGCAATATGCTTTTATGCAGGTTTTATATTTGAGCAAACAAGAAGAACTGCCCCATCACTTCGCAATATTACAAAGCCGCTTTTTTATTCCACTTTTTTTGAAGATTTTCAATGAACCACGGATTCAACTTATTATTGCTAATTTTAACCAGTGGTATATATTTACACAAATTTGCTTGAAAAACAGCCAGTTCACTTCGACAGATCGATTGTGGAAGCAAGGTAGGAAAGTATCTTAAAAAAACAATGCTAGTTGACAATTTTTCTCATGATAATTGCCTTCATTATAGTCTCGAATTTGTTTTACAAGTACACTGGCTACAGGTCGGGGTATGTTTATCTCTACTTGGAGTAACGTGTGGTCACTGAATTCGTCCAAGTAATTCGTTTTACGTATTGTGTCCGGAGCAGTAGTCAGAATAAGATCTAGAATGTTTGTACCACGTGTAGGCTTGAGAACAGTTTGGAAGAGGTAGAAATCTAGAGTTAAGAAAATCATTTCACGTTTGGCATGGTGATGACAGCGTTGCTCAGTAAATGAGAGGAAAGTCAAAGTCGCGTAATATGTAAATTATGCCTGCTTTAAAAATTTCACAAGCCTTGTTGATACTGTCTCGTAGCATATTATTGAAGGAAGAGTTGAAGTCCGGCACTCGATAGCAGCAGCCTACAAGAATTTTGGAGGAAGTGATGGTACAGGCTACCCAAACTATTTAGAGAACAGAATGAGTGTTCACTAAAAATGAAGTGATGCTTTTTCTTATGCCCACCAAAACGCCGCCGCCTCTTTTACCAGTTCGATCACACCTGTAGATGTGGTACGAACTAGCTGAGGTGAAGATTTCATAATCACTGATGGCAGGATTTTGCCAAGTTTCTGTGAAGGTAACAAATTCAGAACTGCTGTCATCTAGAAAAGTAGAGATCAAATCCTATTTTGACATAATGCTGCGTGTGTTTGCGATTGACAGTGATAGTGAATTATCAGCATGCCTTCGTCGTTTATTCTGCATGCGCATGCAACACGCATGCAGAATCTGCAGTTATCGAATCTGACAGATTCGATAACTGTGTTTCTCGCAGAGTCATATATGTATATCTTGTAAACCATTCGTAGCTTGTCCACAGAGAGCTTATACGCAATTTTCTGTGTTTTTGGAAATTCGATGAGCTTCCGTCGGGCGAGCGGAGTTTCTGGGGAAAAATCTTCTCGTATGGAAAATGCGGAACCTTTTAGTTTGCGTGCAGACGACAGGATTTGCTCTTTATCATTAAAGAACGTTATTATTGCTATTATAGGCCTCGGCTTATCTGCTGTGTAATTGCTTACTCGGTGCACACGCTCAAATGGCTGTTCCGTCACAGTAACGCATAATTTTTCCGAGCAGAAGTTTACTATTTTTCGTTCGAATTTTGTTCAGTCTCTATTAGGTTTATTGTCCAGCCCAAAGAAAAGAAAGTTAGATCGCTGCAGTTTATATTTTTAGAACTATTACACCGCAATGCAATTTCTGTTACCTGGCTAGACACAGCATGCAACACATCAGTACTAGCCTCAGATACACCTGTGCTATGGGGTGACGTGGAAATGTTTTCCAAGGCCGCGACTTTATCCTTAAGCAATCAAATTTCATTGCTGGCTTCAACATGCTTCTCTTTCGCAGCTTTCAATTCGGGTAGTAAAGTAGCCTGGCCGTCTTCAAGCTAACGAATGACATCTAGAGCTTGAGCAAATGTGTCGGCTTCAGTTTTCGTCACAGGGCCCGGGTCAGACTCAATGTCACCGGCGAGAAGCAAATAAATAGCATAAAGCGCGGTACACCATAAAAGAAAATTCTTTCATATGCTTTAGCTTATCTATGAATTCGGGTGGGCGCGACACCGAAACTAGAACATAATTACTTATTCTGTAGCAAATAGCACCTTTAAGGTAACTAACCCGTAAGAACAACCACCGTAAGCTTGGAATTCTTGGCGCGATGTCGTGCCCGAGGTGGACGGCTCCTGGCTGGCTTATGAATCCTGCGCTGTCTGTGCCACCACCTGGTCCCGCAATTAGAGGTTGCCAGATGGAGTAGTTTGTTCTTACCTGAAATTGCGTGCAGTGCATCGAAGCAGGCAGCAGCCGAAGTGGGGCAGCGGGCAGGTCATGATTCAGTTAAAGATGTATACGGAAGAAACCATCCAGGAAATGGCAACAATAAGCTTGGCACTCTTGGCGCGATATCGTGCCCGAATTCGAATATATGTTGCATCAAAATTTGGTTTTTTAGCAAGGTACTCTGTCACTAGTTAACAGCAGAACTATGATGCGCTAATGTTTTCAGTGGTTTGGTGCATGCGTAGGTTGAACTCGTAGACAAAAAACTACAGCAGTTGCCTTCTTACTTTTTTCCCGTTACTCTGATGAATTAGTGGCGCAATCAAAACATTCGACAGGACACTATTCGAAGTCGGTATGAAGAAATACACACAAGGAGCAAATTGTGGTTTTGAAAAACTTCCTCGTAATGTATGCTTCACATGATTTGGCAATTAGCAGGCCGCTCTAGGTGACGACAAACATCAGCAAGAAGACGCAATGCTGATCACGCTCAAAAAGTGGGTTCTAGGGACAGCTTAGTGCTCTCCCATAGTTGAGTACGAAGTTTTCGAAATCATTAAACATTTTTTTTCAAACACAATATGCTCGATGATAACGCATTTCATCGACAACTTTCAAATGTGCGGTAGGGCTTGTCACATACGCTAGTTATTTTTATACACTGAGTGGATGACTTCGAGTTTTTTCAGCGGCACGAGTACCAGTTTAAACTCTTTTCGTTTCCCCAGACCAGCTTTTGAAGCTTCGGTGCAACTTGTTCGTAATCATTGATATAAATTGAGAGTATAAGGGGGATAGAGTTGGTTAAGCATTGAGCTGTATACTTTATCACAGAGTGGACATTAAGGTATGTAATCAAATAGAACTGAAGTCATAAAATAAAACAAGCACCTATGATTACAATATTAGAAGCGTTCGGTAAGCTGCCATGAGTTTGATTGTTTTGGTACAGTTCAGTGGTTATATGCCCGAGGGAAAGGCGTGAATGCCCCAACAAGCGAGAAAAGTAACCTTTGGCGTTGGTGCAACTCCGAGCAATATAATTCATGGAATTATATTAACGTTTCATGAAGACATTCCATGACGTCATTACGACATAATAGCGACGCCACTATGACTTTAAGGGGCATGACGTCCTTACACGAAATCTTCACTTGATCAAAGGCGGGCTGATCCAGGGAGTTGTGAAGTACCAGTTGAGATGGACAAAACTTTCAAGGTTTGGAATCCTCGAGGCAGTGCGAAATCATGTTGCAGCAAAAACACTTTGCATTTTGTAGCGGGTGGGCCATGAATATACATCGACTAAAAAGGTAAAAAATAATGTGACTCACAGTAAGGTTACCAACAAAATGAATGAGAGTGCCGTTTTCAGAACCCAGAGTCGTGCATTAGGATCACTTTTCTTATAGGTTGTAGTGCGTGCAGATACCTTAAAAACTGGGTACACACTTTTTTTCATGAGTTTCTTTGCTCCGCTATGAAAAATTGAAACGTTTTATTTCATATTCTACAATGGCTCACCTGGTGATGGAATCAAAGGCAAGAAAGCTTATCCCCCAATTCTGGTAAGTATTCATTTCAAGAACTTGATGCACAAGCTGATGACTAGACAGTGCCTCGTACATAAATAAAAAGAACAACGTTCTATCCCTATGTCCTAGGAATCAGCCTAACGTGTGGTAAAGTGCGTCTCTTTAATGTAGTTGAATGTTCACTGTACAGTAATATAAACTTAAACTCTTGTGGTGGCTTCAGTAGGTAACAGTGATAGTGTATTCTGAAAAGGCAGTTTGACAGGCAGAAGAGCATCACTGATCCAGAGCAGAACTGGGGATAAGGTCACCGTCTTGCGGCTTGCTAAAGAGTGATTGAACAAGGCGGCTGAAGTACAGTGAAATGCTACGCGCGTCTTGTGTCCCCTGTAGCCCAGCCGGGACCTTTCGTGGGGCGAGTGTAAGCGGGGAACGCAATGTTCCAGCCAGGCAAGGGAGGTGTGCGACAAGGTGTTATTTTTTGTACGCATAGATGCTATGAGCGACGGCAGTGCTTTGGACAAGGTAACCACATCACGCTGTGTTAAGACGTTGACAAAATTGCAACTGACGCGTAGCAGCGCCGCGCTGTCGGAGCTAATCTCGGAGGCTCTTGTCGCGATACACTACTTCTCTTTTACCGCTTCCACATGGTAAAAGCACTCTAAGAGTGTTAGAGGAAAGTGAGTGACCTAAAAGGCGCGTTTGCAAAGCCTCCAGAGTATGAGACCATGGTGCAATAAATAGCAAGCTAGGCATATGTTGTTGGGAACCGAGAGGTCACGGGCTTCACTTCCATGACAAAAGTTCTTTTTTTTTCTTGCCATGTGATCATGCTCCTCATTTTGAAGTCATTGTCGTAACAAATATACGTCACTGAAGTCTTCGTGGATCCCGGCGTGTTAAAAACATGCTTGCAGGAGTCATGACTGCTCAGCTTTACGCACCTTCTTTTTGATGGAGGGAGTTAAGCGTTGAGCCTGTTTCTATTCGCACTGCCCCTAGACTGTCGCGCCGTCAAGCGGACTTCAGTGCTACGGAGTCGCTCCCTTGTTCAGCTATGATAGCCCCAGCAGTATTAACACGTTAGCAAGAAACGAAAACATCGGCTTTGCATGCTTCCTGCATCACTATACAGACCCAGCCCTCGGTGAGGCGATAAATCTGAATCGTTCTGCAAGATGCGAAGGTTTTGTAAATATTAGCTGGGACTCCTGCTCTCAATAATTGCCTGTTTAGGGTACAAATAGAGTTAAAACCACGGTGATACGAATTTCATGGGCCCATTAAAACATTCGTATAATCTGAAACCATGGTACTATGTTATAATTTTGTTATCGGCAAGGTGTTGGGAATGTTTTGGGGAGATTTACGGCCGTGCCAGCACTGGTGAGATCTCAACAGCCGGGCATGTTAACGTTGTGCTTACGTTCCACCATCGGAGATTTGGAAAAGCTATACCGTAGGATGCGGTCGGTACGTTGTCGATGCAGCATCGTTTTCGTCTAGTTTTCCAGAAGCAGGCGATAAGTTGGAGTGGGTGAGACGATGGACGAGAAGAGTATGGCGAACAGGTCGGACGACCGCGCGGGGGTGGTGAACGATGACTACACGGTATGAAAGGAATATAATCACTCGTGGTTAGAGATGGTTCGCCGTAAGGTAGCAAAAATCGATGTTCAATCAATGGAAGATGGGTGTACTCATAATATGCCTGAGGACAGTAGCACTAGTAATGGCGGGCAAAAGAGTGGGCGGTTGGGCAAGTTGCTGATCTTTCCTGGTGTCCTGTTCTTTCATGGTTCTGCTCTTTTTTTGCGTCTTGTTTAGTTACGCTATAGTCATGATGGCTTCCACGGGGAGGTGGGTTCGAATATTTCTTCCTGCGATTTTTTTCTTAAACATCCACCTAAATGCATTACGTGAAAATTCGACTTCTGGAAACTTTCAGTTCTCTGGCTAATCTTAGCTTATCTGACACAATATGGGCTGCATATGTGTTCAACATATCCAGCGCGTACTATAGCCGAATGGACTTGAGGAAATATAGTGAGAACTCGATATTTTATGCTAATCTATCAACTCCTTCTTTTTGATAATTTTTTACTTCTTGAACATCAGTTTTCCTAAAATAAAATATGTAATTTTTTTTCAGCCTGCATTGACAAACCAAACACTTTACCTTTTGGGTTACTCGAGGCATCTGAACAACTCAATGTGGCGGTGCGTCAACTCAACCTTCGTTAACAGAACTGGAATTTGGGTGCACCGAAACATCACTTTGGCTTACTATAATGTAAGAAACATTGATATTTCGTTACAACAGTATTTGTCGCAGCCATGTAACAATTTTTTTTCTTCGCTAATAGCAAACCTTCCGTAGAAGCGAACTGCGCTCATGTGATCATTTTCATGCGTCGTCTATATTCAATGTTGTACCACAAGTCACTACGTTTTTCGTTGATATAAGAGTCGCCATGCACAATGCACAAGCTTCAGCCATTGCTATGGATAGGAATGAGAAGGGACAAATGTGCGTGATAAATAGCTCCCTTAGTTTTGGCATGCTGCTTCATCCGTGCTTCAAGGAGATTCTGCCAATTTAAATAAACTTTAGCGGAAATAATCAATTGAGTTAGCCATCTTAGTAGACCACTGTGAGTGAGCAATACAAGAAGAGGATACATGGTGAGGTCATGTTAAGAAAAAGTCATAATTGCGCCACAGGGACAATGAAGTGAATGCTATCAGCAGCGAAGAACCACAAGCAGCTCAAAAAAAATGCAGCGTGCCGCTAAAGCACAAAAGACACACAGAAAGAGCACACAGGGTGATCGCGAAGTAGCAGTGTTTACAGCTCGAAAGTGAAAGCCTGCTGCTCAAACATAAACCATGACGCACCAAAAGGAACGCAAAGGTATAAACAGGAAGAGGGCGAACAAGAACTATCAAACTTCTTTGTGTTTGAGAATAGTGACCGTTTCGCAAACGCGGCTGCTGCAGGGAGCATGGTGGCTTGTGCGTAATATAAATTTAACGCAAATTGTTCATTAAAAGCTTAAGACGCACAGACCATCTGATTTCAAGGCCGGGTAGTTTGTGAGCACCACCGTTCTTTGATGCGCTTTTCCGCTTTTTGGTGGTACATTTAGAGTAATTTTAATATCGGTGTCAGAGTGGCTACTTATCACTTAAGTAGGGGAATTTTAAGTGGAGCACGTTCTTCGTGTTACACAAAACAAATGAACTCGACCGATAACTTGGCGAAGGAAAATATTGTGGGCGTTGTTCATCCTTTCAAACTGTGATGCAAGGTTTGTTAATTCAGTAGAAAAAATATTTCACTTGGCAAAAAAGAACTCTTCCCATCGGTTGAATTTGAAGGTTGTGGTTTGGGATAGCACTGACAGAAAGGGTGCTTTTTCTTTCACTTCATTTATTTCAATTTTAATGAGACACACTGAACCCACAAATAATGTCCTCTAGGCATTCCTTAGCCCAATCGTCTGGCAGTTGGATTAGCTGCGTATATAACTAAAATTTAGCCTTTTTTGCTGGGACACACCAAAGCAATATTTGCCATATCTGCCACTTGGGTTTTCGTGGCTTTATGAAATTCGTGGGCTTTAGAATTGTATTTTAAGTAAATCGGAACTGTGGTTACAGTTTTGACATTCACGTGTTCTGTTGGGTCTACATAGACGACGCCCTGAGAATATTGGAACGTGTGATGGCGAGCCCTTCGTTCTACCCTTGTCCCCCGTGGTATATTCAAGTCGAATATTTCTGCGCATTATTGTAAAATAAAAACCGTTCTCGCCCTTCTAGTCGAATATCTTTCCTAACGTTGTGTCATGCCGCGTATGTCAGAATTGCTGTATTTAAGATATGTTGGTCTGTCGAGTACTGTTTTCGGCTTTCATATAGCTTTATTGAATGAACTTCAATGAATTCATCGAGAGTGCTTTTTGTTCTGAGCTCTGCGAATGTTTCACTATAGATGTTCATTAGGAGTTTTAGCGCCTGCTCTTGCGCTTTTCTGGTAATACGCCCTACTTTAGTTGTCTCTGCCTTTTGGAATGTGAGATAGACTGCCACTATACATTGCGGATGATAGCTAAACGTGTTATGTTCAAACGATGTTATGTGCTATCATTCCTATACTTCTGTTGGATACTCTCCTGATTATTCCGATGGTTTGCTGTATATTATTCCCCAAAAGCCTAACAGTTGACACTATTTTCAATTCCTATAGATTCGGAACCATAGTAACCTTTTAATGTATACCACAAATATTCAACTGATTTTCTCGAAAACCACAATTTCTGGCCTTTACATAGGACCCTTACGTCTCCTGCAAGTGGGCCTGTAAATGAAATAAGTCAAAAGTTCTTATTCCTGGGGGGTGGAGGGAGTGGTTGAGCCATTCGTCTATTTCTCGGCGGTATTAACCACCTCTTGTAGGGTCTCTTCGACTTCTCCATCACTCCTGCCCATCTTAAAGGGAGCGATTTCGTGAGCGTGCAGGCTAAGTCATAGTCCTTTAATTTTCCCGAGCTTTGCAGGTAAGCCAATCATAGCTACGTTGAGCAAGACAAAGAAGCAGGACGCGCTCTTGCGTATTACCATTGCTTTATTATTATTATTACTTTGCCTCACAGATCATTAATTTCTAAGTGGTGCATGATAGCAAGTTTTCTTTGCATGCGTGGGTTTCGTACCCAACCCATGGATCGAGCAAATTCTCCAATTTGCTTTATGAGTCTTTGGGGATGTTCACGGAGTTCTCAAGTGCACGCCGTGAAGTGATATCAAAGAGAACGAAGAAGGAAGTCGCACGGGCATCAAAAAACCAAGATGATGCATAAATTACGCGTGAATCGGAGAAAATCCCCATGATCATTCTGAAGCACAACGAGAGACGACAGTGAAGCGAATTAACGGGACGAAGACGGAGAGAAGAAACAGGGAGAAAGACGGATCGGTTGTTTTTATAGTGTAATTTGTGCACGTGATGATGTTACACGTTTTGGTATTGGTGTATCGGTAGTGGTGTGGTTGTTAAAACAGAGTTTTGAGGTGGTCTCGTTTTCCAGAGGGTGCCTTGAGGCGACGCCTTGGACATTCTCTGGGAAAGTAAGAAAACCTGCACGCTGTGTTGAACAAAACAACATCATAACAGCGTTAGAATATGGGAGCCTTCGTGACATCGAGGCTGAGGAATGCTTTGGTATGGAGGGTTCGTGTTCCAGTATGTGTTGTGATGCTGAATTCGTAGCATTCGGTTTCGCGTCGGTAGTTCTGGCTGAGAAACAGTCAGTATATATGAGTATAGCCAAATATTCAAATAAGAAAGCGCACGTATTTTGCTATGCTTGTGTGAGATTACGTCTTTTGTTTTCATTAGTCAGATGATCACGCTTGTAGTACATTTTAAAGGACGCAATTTTTTACCCAGTCAATTGCTTTTAAAGTGTCAATTAAAAGTTAGTGGGTTAGTTCCTAATTCTTGTATTTGTGGCATTTTAGTTGCGTATTTTAAACCTCCACACAGAATTCATTTGCACCGACTGGCATAGCATAAAACATATAAAAAACATGGTTGATGTTTTCAACACAGGAGTCATTATAACAGAAAAGTAGAACGATAGGTAAGACTTATACTGACAGAAGCAGTTAGATATTTATTGTACACTGACATAACAGAACTTGCTAATGTTTATTGGTATTTGGCAGCTATCTCAACATTTAACGTGGATACACCAACGCTGACGCTCACTGGTACAACTTCATTCAGGTGACTGACGTACAGTATGGTACACTGTTAAAGGGAACACTCGAGTGCACATTATCAATATTGCTGGCCCTGCAAGAGCAAGTGGATTAAGGAACAATTTTCATGCAAGTCAATAGTCTGTCAAGAGGAACCAGAAATTTTAACCACGAGTATCCTTATGCATATCTATGCCGCTATGATTCCGTAAGATGACGAAATCTAAACATGCTGCTTACGCCGGTGTTCCCTTTAACAGTGGACCCGTCTGTACATGACAAATGATTAAACACCCCTGTGGTTTTTGTAGTAGTTAGTGTGAAACGGAATGCGTGTGGTGTATACTTTCTGGCCTGGTTGTGATTTCACTCGGGCAGAGCGTAAGCGGTTACGTTGTGTTACAGGTGGTCGAGGCAGGAGAACGTTGCAGATGGATTTCCAATATAAATGAATGTGATGAGCGAGGCCGAGACCTGGCCTAAAGTCACCACCTGACGGTGTGTTAAAATATTGGCAAAAGTGCACATATATTATTAGAAACGTGCTCAATGGGACCGACGCGTAGCGACGACACCCTGCAGGAGTTAATCATGGAGGCCATGATTATGATTCATTACTTCACTTTGGTGCTCTCACATGGCGCCACCCTGTGATAGCAAAGTGTGAGATGTAAAAGGTGCGTCTCTAAAGCCTCCAGTATGCGTACCCGCACCGCAGTTGAGCGCACCTGGCATATCTTGTCGTGGACCATGAGGTCGTGAGTTTGACTGCCATCGGCATAACCTTTTTCTTTATGTTCTTCTTCTAGTGTGATTGCGTGCATCATTTCGGTGTCATTTTCGTAACGAAAGTATGTTACGAAAGTCTTGGCAGACCCTGGTATAAAGCAGCTTCACGGTAGAAGCTTGTCTTGTCTAACAAAGAAAAAAAAAACGTTATGTGTGTCGAAGGACAGTCGTTATCTATTCTGAAATGGAGATTCAGCTATGTATGATATGGACTCAATTTGGTATACATTATACATGTTCTATTCAATAACCTTTAGTGTATACGCACCCCATGCAGGCGTTATGCTTGAAGGAGTTTGCAGTCTTCATAACTACAAAGCTGGGGAAGGAATAACCTGATTGTGTGCCTTTTTTGCTTACAGCTAACTGAGCGGTTGCAATGGTACGTATGAAGTTTTATCATAAAGTAGACTACACGCCTTGGTGGAAGTAGCAGCACCACCAAAAGAAAGCAGAAGCAACGGAGACAAGAAAGGGAGACCGGAGCAGCAAGGATGCCAGAACCCATTTTGTCCCTCTCTCTTGTTCTTGTCTCGGTTGCATCTACTCTCGTTTGGTGCTGCTGGCACTCCCACTAAAACTATGTACCAAGTTGCCCAACAAGCCACCCTAATGAACTACACGTCTGTTGAAAACGTAATAATTTCTAATTTGCAACATCTATAACATGCGCATTTCGAACGTGGCGATATGTTTGTCAACATAAACTTGCTTTGGCATATGGACATAGTTATGTTCCACAAAGCCAGAACCTTTTTTCCAACACATTTCTAGATAGACAACAGGCGTGAGTACTTCAAGGACCTAAATTAACGTAAATGAGTGAAATAGCTCGTTTCGCACAAGTGGGGCCGGAGTCGTCATCGTTGGTTCCTAGCAAAAAGCCAAAGTTGGCGAGCGAAAGCGTACACCTGCCAAACAACCCGATGTCTTAACGATAGATCAAGGGAGCACTCGGCTACGATCAAGGCTCCGAATGACAGGGCGCACCTTCCTGCGCATTGCAGGAAGTGCGGTTGCACAGCCCTCAGCCAGGAGGCTGACGTGGTCAGTCGAGAAAAGGACCGGTTCAAAATCGAGACATCAGAGGTTGACCTAATCAAGATAGCAGAAAACGCGTGTATTAGTGCACCTTCAGTGCACCTGAACATGACAGAGAAAATTCCTTAACAGCATCAAATGTTTAAACTTATTTCAAGTGTACCCTTCTCCTTTTTGTGATATTGAGATTGTTGCGGGGTTTGCCGGTGATTTAGAAAAAAAACTTTTTTTGACTGTGTCTGTTGCCAGTGTGCCTTCGCATAAGCATTCCTGGCAGGAAACTTTCTCGAATAAATTCAGTTGGAAGTACGCGTTCTTTCTGTCGTGTGTTCCCTTCCTAAGTAAAACCGTGGTCTCCTAAACAAAGATAAGGTCGAGACAACTATACCCCGACAGCTGACCATATTGAAATCTGAGGTAGAGGAAAATAGAGCAATAATACAAATTCGAACTTGTGACCACACTCCGTGGAGTGATGCGTTTAGCCACCAAGTCACCGCGCGTATACCATGTAGCATGCTAACGGCGAGCTACATATGACGCATGAAGTGGCGCAGTAAGCTCCGTACTTTTATATGGCACCACCCCACCACGTGATCACGTTGTTTCGCTTCACAACTATGGACATCACTAATGGAGTGCATGTTTCCGCCTTTCGGCTTCCCTTGAAACATGGGTGGAAAGCACACCGAGAAGTGAAGCCAGGCTAGCAAAGGGACACACGATGCGAACACAGTCGGATTACTCTGTCGCGTTGTTCTCTTAAAAGCGAGTCTCAAGATTTCTTCAAGTTTTTCAAAAAAGATTACGTGAAGGCGAGATATAATGATTGATATGTGTGGCGTTTAACGTCCCAAAACCACCATATGATTATGAGAGACGCCGTTGTGAAGGGCTCCGGAAATTTTGACCACCTGGGGTTCTTTAACGTGCACCCAAATCTGAGCACACGGGCCTACGACATTTCCGCCTCCATCGGAAATGCAGCCGCCGAAGACGGTATTTGATCCCGTGACCTGCGGGTCAGCAGCCGAGTACCTTAGCCACTACGCCACCGCGGCGGGGTGCGAGACACATTGAACCATACGGTTAAACTTCAGTACATTTTACGTAATAATGGTGGGCGTCGATGAAGTGTATATAAACATCCTGGAATAAATCTACAGGGGATCAACTGCTACCATAATGCTTCATAAAAAAGCAACAGAACACCAATCAAGAAGGGTGTAAGGCAAGAGGACACAATCTCCCTAATGCTATTTACCGCGTCCTTACAGGAGGTTTTCAGAAGCCTAGAATGGGAACAGTTAGGGATAAGAGTTAATGGAGAGTACCTTAGTAACCTGCGCTTCGCCGATGACATTGCATTGCTGAGTAACTCAGGGGACGAATTGCAACTCATGATTACGGAGTTAGACAAGGAGAGCAGAAAGGTTGGTCTTATAATGAATCTGCAGAAAACGAAAGTAATGTACAACAACCTCGGAAAAGAGCAGCACTTCGAAATAGCTAATAGTGCACTTCTAGTTGTAAAAGACTATGTCTACTTAGGACAGGTAATAACCACAAAGCCGAACCACGACATTGAAGTAACTAGAAGAATAAGAATGGGGTGGAGCACATTCGGCAAGCACTCTCAAATTATGACAGGTAGATTGCCACTATCCCTCAAGAGGAAGGTATATAACAGCTGTATCTTGCCGGTACTTAGCTACGGAACAGAAACTTGGAGACTTGCAAAGAGAGTTCAGCTTAAATTGACGACGACACAGCGAGCAATGGAAAGAAAAATGGTATGTGTAACCTTAAGAGACAAGAAGAGAGCAGAGTGGATTAGGGGACAAACGAGGGTTAAGGATATCATAGTTGAAATCAAGAAGGGGAAATGGACATGGGCCGGGTATGTAGCCCATCGACAGGATAACCGCTGGTCATTGAGGGTAACTAGCTGGATTCCCATAGAAGGCAAGCGAGTTAGGGGGAGACAGAAGGTTAGGTGGGCAGATGAGATTAAGAAGTTTGCGGGCATAAATTGGCAGCAGCAAGCACGAGACCGGGTTAACTGGCGGAACATTGGAGAGGCCTTTGTCCTGCAGTAGACGTAGTCAGGGTGATGATGATGATGATGATGTTTTTCGCTTTGACTACATAACGCAGAAAACCGACAGAGGGTGGTTTGTCAGAACAACAAAACGTATACAAATGAATGGTAGATGCTGCACAGGGGGGCAGCGATTTGTAAGAAATACTGAAATTAAGAACAACAAGATATCAGAGATAAAATTAAATATGCTTGTACAAAATAGTTTAAGACATAATTAATTAGGACAGGCGTTAATTATGAACAAGCCTGATCATCTGAGATCATGAACAACCCTGAACAACACACGTGGCACTGCTAGCCCAACGCCCAAGGTTCACCTTTGCGTCCCCTCAGACGTGAGTTGTCGAGATGTTAGAATTTCGTCGATCACGGATTCCGTTTGGTAGGGTAGCGAGTCGACGGGTTAAGGAAATGATGCCGAGCTACTTGGGAAAACGAAAAGAAACTGGTGTACTGAAACTTTTTGTACAACTATTTGCATCATAAGAAGGGTAAGAGCTGAGCAAGCCATGAGCGTGGTGGAGAAGCTGTTAAACCAAGGCCAAGAGCGTCTTATTTCATTTAGCAACGTTGTTTTAGCCCTTAATTCCGGCTCTTTTTTTGATTGAGGCCAATCAGACACATGACACCACCCACCAAGGCACCAGCCAATAACCCACTGTCGCCGATAGGTCATAGCTCTCGCTGATGCCAACTTTTCCCGGTCCGTGACACTCACGGGTGGGTGAACCTCGGGGGCAAGTATGCGGACGAGTTGCTTGTGCCGTTTCTCCCCCCCCCCCCCCCCCCAAAAAAAAAGCAGATAAGAGAATCATTTTTGTGAAGACCTACGAGACAGGTCGGTAGAATGGCCTGCCCAAACAAGCAAAACTGTTCATTCGGGAGAAGGCGCTAGCTTTGGGCGTTGCTTTGCTGTCTGTACAAGCTCGCAACTTTTTTTTACATTGTGAAACTTCCCGCCGCTGTATGCTTGTTTCTGGGAATAGTCCAGGAGTATCGGGTCGGGCGGACGAGTTCCCAAGCTGCCCACTTCCCGTAGAGAGTGCGTCGATAATGTGATTGAGCATTAACAGCACTGTCATGAGTTTTGAGCCCACCATGGTGCTTCCCAAGCGCATGATCCTGCTACTGTGAGCATTCGATCCTCCATGTCACGCCACGCAGATGGTGGCAATATTTTGCAAATGGTGGGGCTTACTTCAAGACAGCGCAACGTTTTAGTGGTGCATCATCAGCGCAACACAGAGAGTACGACGCACTCTGCACTAAGAATAAATAATCTGCCATGGAGGCATTTGGGCTTAACTATTGCTGAAGCATACGCTTTTCCCGCAGAGATAAGCAGTGAGATTACGATAGCGCAGCATCAGTGACATTGCGATGCCTACGTTCGTGCGTCGCATGAATGTTAGCTGCATGTATATAGTTTTTCTATTTAGTAGGAGTCGTGGTGTCGACTTGGTATGTGCGTATGCTTGTGTGGGCTGCGTGTATAGTGCGCCTGAAAAACTTTCATTCTGCAGCTTTCGAAATAATAAATCATGTGTGGCACGAACAGCCTCAGAAACTACTTTACAACGGCCCTTTTACACTTAACTTTTGCCAAGACTTTGTCTAAAGTTGTAACCAAACAACTCAACGTATATGACAGTAATCAATAAGCTCCATTTCGTAAAATTAGTAAATTGTGGCAATAAATACACGTGCCTTTGTCTGTCACTGCAAGTGTACACACCTCTGCTGGTCATCCCTTTCAAAGCGTGCAATGACTGGTTAATTTTTTTTCTGACGATGCATTCCCCATTGTGTATATCTGCGTTTTATTCTACCAGGTAAAATCAAACGAAAGTACATTGCACAGATAAACGAATGTAAGCCATGATGTTGAGAAAAGCCTCATTAGCGTACTTCCACTAAGATTTCATGAGTGATAAGGAAAGCTCGTACCATTTTAGCGAGGCTAGTCGCATTGGATCTAAAGAAATGTTGCACGATATAGGGCAAATATAAATTTTAGAGTTTCATTTTGATATTATTTTGGTAATATGTCTATCTCTTCTTTTCAGGACGATGCCTATTATGGTAACAAATGAAAGTTATGATTTGCTGCTTCATGTGGAACCCTATGGTGAAATTTCATTACCTTCTTTGCTCATGTGCATATTTGTTTTTAGCATTATTCGTTGCCTTTTCGTGAACAGTCACTAACCCTTTACTTCAGCACGTAATGCGCGAATC